GTCTAACGATCACGCTTGGATACATCGCCCGATGGTTCATTGGTTTGTCGAATCACCGTGCCGAGCTGTGTTAAGGGACCTATAAGCATTTTTATACGCCTACAACATCTAACTGCTTAAGAAAGAGGTCTTCTGCAGCTATCAAACTCAACACCACTCTGATAGTTGTGAGCTTCACGATGGGAAAAAATATCTTCGTGTAGTCCACTCCTTCCTGCTGTTGAAACCCCTTCACTACTAATCTGGCCTTGAATCTCTTGCTTCCATCACTCTCCTGCTTGACCCGGTAGACCCATTTGTTATGTAAGGCTTTCTTCTGTATAGGTAGTTGGGCTAACTCCCTTGTCTCATTAGTGAGTAAAGAATCCATCTCCTCCTACATCGCATGCTCCCACTGCTGAGATTCACTCACTTGCATAGCCTCCTCATAGCACTCCAGTTCACCGCTATCTGTCAATAATAAGTAATCAAGAGATGTTGGGATTTGGTTTGGGTACCTTGGATGACCTCCTAAGCTCCACGCCCTGGGTAGTTACTTCTGTACCTGGAGCCTCATCCGTTCTATGGTCAGAACAAACATCATCATCCCTATCTGGAAGTTCCTCTAAATCCATGTACTCGGGTCCACCTGCATCCGTAGTGTTGCTCCCACTGCTTTGGCTATCCTTGGTATTTTCCCTGTTCTTGTACATCACCTCCTCATTGAATATCACGTCCCTGTTTCTGATGATCTTCCTGTTCTTCTCATCCCAAAGATGATACCCGAACTCATCAATATCGTATCTAATGAATGTGCACTTCTGTGACTTAGCCTCTAGTTTGTCTCTGACATGGTCACTGATATGAACATAAGCCACACAACCAAATACCCACAAGTGTGGAAGATTTATCTTCTTTCCACTCCAAACCTCCTCTGGAATCCTAAAATCCAATGGAACTGATGGCCCGTGATTAATAAGGTAAACTGTCATATGCACCGCATCCGCCCAAAATATCTTAGGCCGATCTGCATGTAATCGCATGCTCCTAGCACACTCCGTCAAGGTTTTATTCATCCTCTCTGCAATGTCATTCTGCTGTGGCATCCCTGGAGTAGTCCTTTCTAAACGAATACCATTTGTAGCACCTCTTGAACTCCTCCAGCTCGTATTCTCCACCATTGTCTGATCTCAGACACTTCACCTTCAGATCTGTCTCGTTCTCCATCATGGCCTTTCACTTATTGAAGACTCCGAACATCTCTGACTTGTGCTTCATAAAGTAGACCCACACCTTACTCGAGTGATCGTCGATGAAGGTGACATAATATCTCGAACCGCCAAAAGAAGATGCACTGGCTGCTAGACCCCATACATCTGTATGAATCAACTCTAGTTTCTGAACCTTAGGTGGCCTTCCATCATTCTAGAAATTAACCCTCTTATGCTTCCCAAAGATGCAGTCTTCACAAACCCCGACTTCCATGAAGTTGATCCTGGTTAGCTTTCCCTGTGAATGTAAGATCCTCATCCCTTTCTTGCTCATGTACCCTAGCCTGTTGTGCTATAGATCTGTCCTCTCTTTGCAACCTGCAATTGCAAGGGTGTCACTCGCATGTAAGGTGAGATAGAGAGTCCCTAGTTTGTTGCCTCGAGCAACTATCATCGTACCGTTAGAGATTCTCTACGAATCCCCTGTGAATGTCGAAACATATCCTTCTGCTCTAATCTGTCCTTCCGAAACAAGATTCCTCTTCAGCTTCAGCACGTGTCTCACGTTCTTCAAGGTCCACTTAGAGTCATTCATCTGAATCTTCACTTCACCCTTTCTAACAATATTACAAGGCTCGTTATTTCCCAAATAAACTTTTCTAAAGTCCGCTCCTACATAATTCTGGAGAAGCTTCCTATTAACAGTGGCATGGAAAGAGGCTCCTGAGTCGATGGCCCAAGAATCTGAGTCTCTATCCATAGCAAGGATCAATGCATCCTGCACGATATGATCCTTCTGCTCACCTGTATCCTTCTTTGGACTCTTGCAGACTGAAGACATATGGCCCTCTTGGTCGCAGTTCCAACACTTCCCTTTAATAGGCCTAACCTTCGAGTTCAACCTCTTCTTTACTGATTTAGACCTATTCCTGTTCTGGTTCCCTTTCTTCTGGCTTCTGCCTCTTTGCTCGAAATTTATGGCTGAACCTGAACCTTCTGATTCGGACGATTTCCTTCTAACCTCCTCGGATAGAATCATGCTAACCACCTCACTCAGTTTTAATTTTTTCTTCCCTGTCGAATTGCTGATTACCGTCACACAACCTGCCCAACTATCCGATAATCATGATAGTAACAGTAGGGCCTGCACTTCGTCATCAAACGTGATGTCTATGAAGATAAGCTGATCAACAATCGTGTTGAACTCGCTGAGATACATCGTGAAGAACCGTCCTTCTGCCATCTTGAGGTTGAAAAGAGTCTTGATGAGATGCACCTTGTTTGCTGCCAACGATTGCTCGTATATCTTCGCGAGTGCTTCTATAAGCCCCACCGTCGTCTTCTCCTTAAAGATATTGCGGGCTACTGAATTGGCGAGTGACAACCGGATTTGCCCTAGAGCCTTTCTCTCCAGTATCTCTCAATCATCATCTAACTCCTTTTTCTTTTGTCCCTTATCCTTGCCCATCAACGAGCGATACAAGTCCTTTTAGTATAGATAGTCCTCCATATACGACTTCCAGTAGGCGAAGTCTGAGCCGTCAAACTTCTCGATCTTAGATTTGATTTTCTTTGTCATGGCTTTCACACAAATTGTTGAATGATACTCTGATACCAGTTGTTGGGGATTCGAAATAATCAAATCGAACTCTTGCCCTTCCGGACCTTGTGTTGAAAGTAGGAAAGTAGGAAAATTCACTACAAATAAAAATCAAAACTTACAGGAATAATAAAGGAGACGAACACACAGATTTAACGAGGTTCGGTAACATGCCTACGTCCTTGGGAGCCACACCACATAATTTTTTTATTGATTGAAGAAGAAATACAAGCTCTCAAACTATGGTTTTATCTCTCTGAGATCTCTCTATCAAAAGCTCTCTCTTTTGATGGTTTTCTAATGCTTAACAAACTCTAAAAACGTTTGGGTATTTATATCAAACCCAGCCCAAACAGATTTCCTAAACTCATAAGGAATCTGGCAAACAACGTCACAGTCGACCATGGCAGTCGACCGCACAGGTATCGCGGTCGACCTCGGCAGTCAACCGGACCAAAACTCGAGAGCAGAAAACATTACAGGGTTGGCGAGGTCGACCGCCGCGGTCGACCGCCTTCAGCTCCAACCTCTCCCTGACTCATGTGCATGCACGTTCGCGGTCGACCGTCGCTGACTCACGGTCGACCGCCAGGCTGACTGGCAGTTCTCCTGGACTTTTTAGATTGTGTTCTTCGTGATTTTAGCTTTAGCTTCAACTTTGGGTCTACATTTTAGACTAACAGTCTAAGACGTTCTATCTAGAATTTAGTTACCTATACTTTTTTGTCTAGATGGAGTGTTTAAAAAGGAACATATTGTAAACAGATTTAATCGTCTAATTCTATTGATTCTTCTACTATGTTCTATCTATCATCAAGCTGCTTATTACCTATTGCTAAGTGATCATTATCATTTCCAAGAAGTATGGTTCTTATTTGCAATAGATACAAGTATGATTCTCAAAATAAAAGAACAATATGCTCTAAGAGCATCTCCAACAGCTTCCCCAAAAGTTTATTCAAAATAGGGAAGCTAAAGTCATATTCTTTAAATTATTTTTGTTCCAACTCCAACAGCTCCCCATTTTAAAGAATTCTGTATTTATTACAATAATAAAAATATTTTGCATCCCTATTTTGGGATACTCTTAGGACATCTCCAATAACTTTTCTAAAATTTTCTCCAAAATGGGGAAGCAAAAGTCATATTCTCTAACTAATTTTTACACCAACTCCAACAGCTTTCCTATTTTGAAGAATCCCTTTTTTTCTCCAAAAATTTAGAGAATGCTGCAGATTTGGGGAAGCTTCCCCATTTTTTCTCCCGCATCCCTATTTTGGGGAATAAGATGAAGAATCTGTTGGACCAAAAACCTAATTAAATTCTCCAAAAGTGGAAATGGGGAAGCTATTGGAGATGCTCTAAGCATTGGAACTGCCCCCATGGCTTTTTTATAATTACGGATTTTGTTTTGTATTTATTTTCTCCTCCATCTCGTTTTGAAGAATGTGCTAAATTTATGACAAAGCTCTCTGCAAAAATTTACAGAATGCTGTAGATTTGGGGAATACTCCCTTTTTTTCTTCTCCATCCTATTTTGGGGAATGTGATGGGGAATCTGTTGGACAAAAAAAAAACCCAAAATTCTTCAAAAGTGAGAATACCAATAAAATGGAGAAACTGTTAGAGATGCTTAGGAAGAAGACATCAAAAGGTGCCAAGCATATTATTATCGAAACTTTATCAAAAATCTTCTATTATTCTACCGGACTTGTTTTCGTCCTGATTGATCCCCGAAAAAAAAATTAAAAATTAAAAAAAAGGACTCCGTCATCCTCATCTGTACACCAAGTATGATATACAGTCCACGACCCGTATGTTCATACTCTTGCTTATTTTTTCCCAATAAAGTTATAGCCTTCCTCATATATACTTAACAAACAAGAGTAGTTGTCATTGTCATCAAGGCAGGCGAGCTTACTCTATTCATCACACGGTTACACACAATTGTGGACTATGTGCCGTCCCTCACATCAAATGCTCGGCCAAGTACTCCCAAAAGCTAGCTTCCACGGATCAAAATAATCCAAAGATAACAAGTTTTGGACTGCATATCGCATCCTCTTCCTTTACATATTCTCATGTGATAAACGATACAATCTTCCCTTGGTTTCTTCTTCTCTGCCTCCATCCACTCTCTCGCTTATTCTCTCTCACTATATTCCCTCCAAGAGACTAAGCCCCATCGTGCATGCCCAAATATATAACTAAAGAAGAAGATATTGATCAAACAGGCGTTCTACATATATATGCATGCTGATAGTTAGCCATGACATTTCGATATCTATCCTCTGTTTCTTCGTCAATGACGACAGTCCCCAAGGATGTCACCGTCGATCCCGGTCGATCTCAAAGAACTCAATTGTTGGCTGCTATAGTGCTGAGCCTGGCTGCTATGGTATCGGCTTTTCTTCTGTATTTTTGCATCAAGAGGATGCACTCAAAGAAATACAAGAATACGTTGTCTATGAGAGGTGCGTTAATTAGTGTTAAGTGATCTCTTCAAAGTTTCTTTCGCTGCGTCGTCAGAGCTCCAAAATTATGATAAAATTCCATATAACTTCATACGAGTTATGCGTTATGCTTCAAATGAGATTTGAACTTGTATATTGCACCGGTATCTTAAATTCTTCCGTAACGCCAAAACTTCAAACAAACTTATCTGAAAGTTTAAAGTTATAATTTTATAGTGTAATTACTTGTTGTGTTAATTTCTTGAACAGAGATCGGATTGAGAAGATTCAGTTTGGGAGAGATTGAGAAAGCCACCAAGTGTTTCAGTAAAGAGTGTTTGCTTGGTTCGGGAGCGTTTGGAAATGTTTACAGAGGAATGTTTGATGGGGGGAAAATTCTCGCAATTAAGAAGGCACATGTCGATTCTTATGATAGCATTCTTGAATTCAAAAATGGTATCGGATTCATACATGAGGGCGATAATCACAGCTTATTGATTTTATTGTATGTGTAGCTTGCTAAGAGAGAGTACGTGTGTTGTTTGTTCAGAGGTAGAGCTTCTGTGGAGAGTGAAGCATCCAAACCTTGTGGGCTTGGCTGGCTTCTGCCAAGAAGCTGGTAAGTCCTTAACTACATCTTCTTCATTTGGGACGTTATATCAAATTCTGGAGTAAATTGCACATATATAGACCCCTGTAAATGTAGGGGCTCCGTCACTTGCCCCCTTGAAATCTGAAACTCTCGACAGAAAATGAAATAAGCTTAAGTCATGGAGTCTTTGATTGCTCCATATTTAGAATCAATCATGACTTTTCTAGCATAAATAGATGTTGTGGTTTATAAGTGGTGTCTTGATTGTGAAACAAGAGGCAGATAAGATCCAAATTCACTTAATTTGTGACTTAATTTGTTTGAAGTGGAACTATTTCGAGATGTGCGGGCAGTCATATGTATATTTTATTTAGTACAAAGCTCATATATGAACCTTTTGCCAATTCATGACATGGATTAATAATTCTTATCTAATTTTCTTTGTTTCAATTGCACCTAATTATCAATTGTTTTACACTTTCTATCATTTGATCATAAGTTCTTGGATTTAACTTTTTCTTTGAGTGAAATGGTGAGTGACTATATATCGGTGTGTTGCGCTAACAAGAGTTTAACGTAACAACCCAAAAGATTGCATGTGGAAAAAACAATGAACAAGAGAAGCCTAAGCTAACCGATACCGACGAAAACAAAATAGAAACCACAGAGAACTAAAATAAGCCGAATGAAGAGCTCAATGGAACAAATATGTTCTCTGTACCCTACTATCTCATAGCATGACACTAGATATCCATTATGAGCTCAGAGTATCCCTCTTGACTTCTAAATGTTTCGACTACTGGTGTAGTGTCATCTTTTGCAAGCGCACAATTCCCGTCCAACTGCCAAATCAACATATCTTCTATCTCTTGTTTATCTATGTAACGATAAAACATTATAATTTGCTGTTTGCAAATTGCGCAAATTGCGATAGACGTTTGAAGTACTAAGAAAAACTAGAAGTCAAATCATGGAAATTCTATTACTGCGCTCATTCCAAAAGATTCAAGATGTAGCAGCACAATGAGTAGCTAGCTCAAAAGATCTTAACTCGTTATTCTCATAAACACAATGCCAAGAAAACCAGACATTCCGATACGATGTAGGAGCCCGCTCTAATGTACATGCATGATTTCCATGTATGATTTCCATATATCCATACAGAATTGGTAGAAAAAGAGCATGCGATCAACTAATTCATCCTCGCCCTTCGTAGGGGGTAGATAAATCAAGAAACAGTTACTTCTACAGTTAGATGAAACACTTTAAAATGTACCAAACTTTATATTGCCAAGAGGTAACAAGATCCTCCATCATTATAAGACATGGTTGGACTTAAATTTCTTACTTGTTACTTGGAGTGCTATTATAACCTTTATTGAGAACCAGCTATCCCGGATACTGCATCCTCGAGGGGAGCAAATTTGACGGGATTTCACTGAAAGCCCCGCCTAGGATACACATCCGAGACGAGCTTTGGAGCATCCTAGACGGTCCTGACCATCTAGGATTTTCAGTTTTCGGATAGTACTTGGTATTGTAAACCCGCCAACTTCAGCTGAAACATTTACCTTGTCTTTCGTCAGTTTTCGGATAGTACTTGGTATTGTAAACCCGCCAACTTCAGCTGAAACATTTACCTTGTCTTTCGGTTTGTTCAGATCAGAAGATACTGGTCTACGAGTATGTCCCTAATGGTTGCCTTCTCGATTACATTGCTGGTAAATTTTCAAACAAGTTCTCTAGGATATCTTTCAACACCATGTATTCTGATATCTCATTGAATTTCTATTGATAACTTTTGTAGGGAGACAAAAGAAGCCTCTGACTTGGATGCAGAGAGTTCACATTGCCATTGGCGCTGCTAAAGGTAAAACAATCTTACCATAAGATATGCATCATCATCAGAACTCCCGTTTACTTTTAGCAGATAAGCCCACAATTGACATCGCTAGATCTGACCGTGCCTGTGAAACGTGCCAGATTAAAGGCAGTTTAAGTGACATTTCTATTGGAGGATTATCCCAAACTCTAGCTATATATCTATATCTAAAGCTCAAAACCATACATGTGGTCTTATTGTACGCAGGCATAGCTCATCTCCATGAAGGTGTTACTCCTAGCATAATCCACAGGGACGTGAAACCAAGCAACATTTTAATAGGGGAAGGGTTCGGACCCAAGGTTTCGGACTTTGGGCTAGTGAAATCAGGTCCAGTTGGCGATGCTTCGCATGTCAGCAGCCAGATCAAAGGAACTCCTGGCTATTTAGACCCTGAATACTGCTCTAGCTACCATTTGACTACCTTCAGCGACGTTTACAGTTTTGGAGTGATACTGTTGCAGCTCATCTCTGCAAGGCGTGCCGTTGATCACTCAAGGCCTGCTTCCCAGTATCACATCATTGATTGGGTATGTTGAATGAATTTAAATAAAATATCTCATGAGGTACTTATGTTGTTTTCATAGAAAATCATAGTTAATTTCTCAAAGTCTTTTCCGCTGCATTAAAACTTCTAAATTATGAACAGAATCGAGAATTATGATTTTATACTTTATGAGTTTTGTACGTGTATATTGAGCATCTTTTTGTCCCAAACAATTTTTTTTTTATGCCGTGGGACTTTCTTAAATTCACTTTAATGATTAGTTTATGAAATGTGAATATTGGCTGCTATGATACCATCTTAAAAAAACATTCATTACTAAATCAAAATTATGAAGTTTAACACTGTTTGAGGTCCTGTCGTGAGAATTTAAAATTCATGATAGTTTTCGTTAGAATAAATAGAATTTATTTTATTTTCAAAACGTTTCCCGTTAGTTATTTCAATTTGGATTTGAAATTTCTCCTACATATCTAATTTCTTTCCCGGCGTTTCCAGGCGAGGCCTAGTTTGGATAAAGGTACAGTAGAGGAAATAATTGATGCCGATCTACTGTTGGAAGCATGCAACATGGAAATGATGCTTAAGATGGGGCAACTAGCGCTCAAATGTGTCGTGAACAAGCCAAAGAACCGACCTACAATGAACCAAGTGGCTAAAGAACTTGAAGAGGATTTCAAGCGATATGCAGCTCCTGCTATCAGCAAACAGATATCGAATGTTCATTGTAAATCGATTGCCAGGCAAGAATCTGCAAGCTCTATTAGCATCGACAATGTTGGACTAGAGAGGTTCAATATAGAGGAAGAAGATGATATATCGATACGGAGTGTGTCAATGAGGTGCCTTGACGTGACTTGGATTGATATGAATCATAGTGTTTATGATGTTGGTAACAAAGGACTAGAGTTGGTGCGGATCAGTGAGGAAACGGACAAATTTTGAAACTAGGTCGTTTTTTAAAAATATTGTGAAAACGGGTCTGTTTTTGGGATTAAATGTCCATATGAGACGATTTTGAAAATTTGTCCGTGAGGAAACAGATGATAGAATTGCGCTTAGACTCCTCCGCGTAAATCCCTGAACATCAGGCATTTATTGTAGATGTGTTTATGTAGAGATACTTGGAGATCGAAAGGGCAAACGAGCAGCTGTAAGTTTTTTTTAAAATTGCAGTACAAAATGGGAATTTTGTTTCGCGTTTGGAGAACCTTCATTTTGAAAGAGTTGTTACCCGCAGAAGTTTTGCATTTTCAGAACGATTTTTCTAATGATGACAGAGATAGATAGAAATGTTTCTAGAAATAGAGAATTATGAGGCTTGAGTTATTAGCGGACTCAAAAAAAAATGTTAAAATAAAATTATAACTCCTGGCATGCTATATTAGAGTTCTAGTGTAGTGGAAAATATATTTCATACAGTATCAGAGCGTTCTAGATTTAAGTTCTATCAACCACGAACCACAAATTTAATTAAAAAAAAATATGTGTTGTGTGAATTTAGATATTGGCTCATGAAACAACCCTCAATTTGGCAGAGTAAAGCATAGGTTATCACCATTAAACCATACCACCTCTAAAATTCTGGAGTAATGAAAGGGATCTTTAACAAAAATGCATTAATTTGATTATTTCATGCAGTGCAAAAGAGCTCAGGCAATAGATAGGGATTTCGTATCCCAAACTCTAGTATTTTACCAAGTATACTAATTCCTACAAGTAAAAAAAAATTGTTTGGCCTTCTCATTTTCATGTTTCAGCCTTTCACCAAATTGTCAAAAAAGAATGCCGTGAAAGGCATGTCGTATCTAACACATGATATTGTCGACATGAATGGTATCTAAATTTATACTCTAATACAGACTTTTTCTTGCTGAGTGAGCTGCGAAAGAGATCATTAATTTGGTCAATTAAAGACTTTCTGATTTAAAGCAAAATTTCTATGCAGAGAATCCTTCATCCTAATAAATATAGAACTTTTGGGAGAAAATGGATGATCTCTTCATTAATATTATAGTGTTTATATACTAGGTAAAGGAGAATTGTTCTAATATCCTAACCAGTGTGAGACTAAAGAAAGACTAGATGAGCATGGTTACATGCATTTATACAAGATGAAGATTTAATATAGATGGAAAATAAAGAAAGAACATACTATCTAACATATGGTTATATGCTACCTAATATAGAAGATAGGATATTAAGAAAATATATGTCACTATTTGGAATGCCCCCATCAAACTCATGTTGGATTGAGAACCGAGAGTTTGGACAAGAAGAGCCAAAATTATGTAGGTGGCTGTTAGCATGCCTCGTTGAGAGGTGGCTGGTTGGAGCATGACGGAAGCTACTTTTGGTTGTCAGGCTGAGGATGCAAGTTCTGTGGGAAGATGATGAGGACAACGTAAAGATCTCAACGGCAGGTGGAGGACAAAGTCTCGATCCTTGATGGTTGTTGAGGACCTCTGTGATGGAGTGGAGATTAGATTTTGATGCAGTTTGCTAAAAGCTTGTGATTGAGGCAAACTTGAGGAGAGAAGCATAGCTTCATGTTGATGTCGACATCAAGGCAAGGGAACACAGCAAGGTGTTACTTTTTGTAGACTGGAGGTTGTGGTTATAATGAGTTGTGGTTAGCTGCAGGGGAGGCGTTGCCGCTAAGGGGAGGATCGGGAGGGAGGTGTTGTTGCATGAGAGGTGTAGTCGTCGTGGCTCAACAATAAGTGGTGACAGGTATGAGTTTTGCTGGCAATGGGGACTTCCAATGGTAATGGGAAGAAGCGATGGTGGTATTGTCAAAGATTCATTATTCATTGTCAGAGATCTAGCAGAACTAGATTAGGGGTTGCAATGGTTATAGGTGAGGATGATGATAATGACTTGTTGCTGAAGTTGAATCCGTGTAGGGGAACACGAAAGTGGTGCTTGTATAAAAGCCCCTCGACGGCCCCAAGATCCAGAAGAAGAGAGAGTTATTCTCTAGCATTGAAAACTCTAATACCATAATAAATGTAAAAGTATAAGATCTAAACTAGAAGCAATATTCCCAAGCTAAGAGATATTTGATATGCTCGTCTTGGTTGCGGATGAAGCTTGAACTTGTACTTGACTTGAAATACAAAGCTTCATTCCGATATTTTTTTCATCCTCCAATGGATATGATCGTGTAGGCGCAAGTCCATCCAACCTCCAATGGATGGTCTTTGTTTAGAACACCTAACAAGTAATTAAACACTTGACAAATATTATTAAGAATTATTTGTTAATTATCAAAACTAGATTAGATAATAGGCTCATAAACATGAAACCTAACAAATTCCATAACAAGTTTAGCTGAATTGAAGATGCATGCTATGGAGAATTTAAAAGTACAGTATAAAAGTTTACTGATAAGTTACTCTCTCGAGAAGTTTCTCAGTGCCTCGTTTAAGATTCTAAAAGATGAAGATATTCTCAATATGATAGATTATCATTGTTCAATGGGGTTAAATACGATAACCATGACTGTTACTGAAAGAGATAAAGAATATGATAGATTATCATTGTTCAATGGGGTTAAATACGATAACCATGACTGTTACTGAAAGAGATAAAGAATTCACGCATGTCATAGGGACAGAAATGGTTAAATACGATAACCATGACTGTTACTGAAAGAGATAAAGAATTCACGCATGTCATAGGGACAGAAACAGAGTTTAAGTAAGTATTCAAAAGATTCTTTTCAGATTCAGTATACATGTTATAACGGGAACTGTGATGTTTACATCTTATATGTGACCTATAGATATTGCACGTGACATATCGACTTTATTTGTGACATATACAAGTTAACATTTATTTGTAATTACCACATGTGACTAATATGTATGTTATATTTAACTTGTAGTCTTCTTATTGTAAACTCAGTCATCAGAGCATATCCAGAAATCAGACATGATCCCAAATGACAATCATCAAGAAGAGTATGTATGGATAATGGATGACATAGAGTGACTCAATAGTAATTCTGGCATGGTGGTAGGAGGCAATTACTAAAAAAGGGCAGCAATTTGAAAGCGTAAAAGAAGTTAGAATGACTGGCATGGTGGTAGGAGGCAATTACTAAAAAAGGGCAGCAATTTGAAAGCGTAAAAGAAGTTAGAATGACTCTTATATACTACTCTATAGCTAAGAAGTTCTATTTAAATATGTTAACAATGAGCCAAAATACATTCGTGATTAGTACATGTTCAGAAAAAAAACAAAATGCTCGTAGGTACTTTACGCTTCACTATTGAGCCATGTGTCAGCCTTTGTGTTCGTTGGAAAATTTGCAGTAAAAAGATAAAGAAAGAAAATTTAACTTGTATTTCTCTCAAAATCAATTACAATTTGGATTCCGATTACAAAAGAGAGGAGAACGAATTTGATTCTCCCCTTTGTTTAATTCTGGGTTCTTCACGGTGGCACATGTATTCTGATTTCTGGGTTCTTCTAAATGTTTCGACTACTGGGGTAGTGTCATCTTTTGCAAGCGCACAATTCCCGTCCAACTGCCAAATCAACATATCTTCTATCTCTTGTTTATCTATGTAACGATAAAACATTATAATTTGCTGTTTGCAAATTGCGCAAATTGCGATGGACGTTTGAAGTACTAAGAAAAACTAGAAGTCAAATCATGGAAATTCTATTACTGCGCTCATTCCAAAAGATTCAAGATGTAGCAGCACAATTAGTAGCTAGCTCAAAAGATCTTAACTCGTTATTCTCATAAACACAATGCCAAGAAAACCAGACATTCCGATACGATGTAGGAGCCCGCTCTAATGTACATGCATGATTTCCATGTATGATTTCCATATATCCATACAGAATTGGTAGAAAAAGAGCAGGCGATCAACTAATTCATCCTCGCCCTTTATAGGGGGTAGATAAATCAAGAAACAGTTACTTCTACAGTTAGATGAAACACTTTAAAATGTACCAAACTTAGGGGGTAGATAAATCAAGAAACAGTTACTTCTACAGTTAGATGAAACACTTTAAAATGTACCAAACTTTATATTGCCAAGAGGTAACAAGATCCTCCATCATTATAAGACATGGTTGGACTTAAGTTTCTTACTTGTTACTTGGAGTGCTATTATAACCTTTATTGAGAACCAGCTATCCGGGATACTGCATCCTCGAGGGGAGCAAATTTGACGGGATTTCACTGAAAGCCCCGCCTAGGATACACATCCGAGACGAGCTTTGGAGCATCCTAGACGGTCCTGACCATCTAGGATACTCAGTTTTCGGATAGTACTTGGTATTGTAAACCCGCCAACTTCAGCTGAAACATTTACCTTGTCTTTCGTCAGTTTTCGGATAGTACTTGGTATTGTAAACCCGCCAACTTCAGCTGAAACATTTACCTTGTCTTTCGGTTTGTTCAGATCAGAAGATACTGGTCTACGAGTATGTCCCTAATGGTTGCCTTCTCGATTACATTGCTGGTAAATTTTCAAACACGTTCTCTAGGATATCTTTCAACACCATGTATTCTGATATCTCATTGAATTTCTATTGATGACTTTTGTAGGGAGACAAAAGAAGCCTCTGACTTGGATGCAGAGAGTTCATATTGCCATTGGCGCTGCTAAAGGTAAAACAATCTTACCATAAGATATGCATCATCATCAGAACTCCCGTTTACCTTTAGCAGATAAGCCCACAATTGACATCGCTAGATCTGACCGTGCCTGTGAAACGTGCCAGATTAAAGGCAGTTTAAGTGACATTTCTATTGGAGGATTATCCCAAACTCTAGCTATATATCTATATCTAAAGCTCAAAACCATACATGTGGTCTTATTGTACGCAGGCATAGCTCATCTCCATGAAGGTGTTACTCCTAGCATAATCCACAGGGACGTGAAACCAAGCAACATTTTAATAGGGGAAGGGTTCGGACCCAAGGTTTCGGACTTTGGGCTAGTGAAATCAGGTCCAGTTGGCGATGCTTCGCATGTCAGCAGCCAGATCAAAGGAACTCCTGGCTATTTAGACCCTGAATACTGCTCTAGCTACCATTTGACTACCTTCAGCGACGTTTACAGTTTTGGAGTGATACTGTTGCAGCTCATCTCTGCAAGGCGTGCCGTTGATCACTCAAGGCCTGCTTCCCAGTATCACATCATTGATTGGGTATGTTGAATGAATTTAAACAAAATATCTCATGAGGTACTCATGTTGTTTTCGTAGAAAATCATAGTGAATTTCTCAAAGTCTTTTCCGCTGCATTAAAACTTCTAAATTATGAACAGAATCGAGAATTATGATTTTATACTTTATGAGTTTTGTACGTGTATATTGAGCATCTTTTTGTCCCAAACAATTTTTTTTTTATGCCGTGGGACTTTCTTAAATTCACTTTAATGATTAGTTTATGAAATGTGAATATTGGCTGCTATGATACCATCTTAAAAAAACATTCATTACTAAATCAAAATTATGAAGTTTAACACTGTTTGAGGTCCTGTCGTGAGAATTTAAAATTCATGATAGTTTTCGTTAGAATAAATAGAATTTATTTTATTTTCAAAACGTTTCCCGTTAGTTATTTCAATTTGGATTTGAAATTTCTCCTACATATCTAATTTCTTTCCCGGCGTTTCCAGGCGAGGCCTAGTTTGGATAAAGGTACAGTAGAGGAAATAATTGATGCCGATCTACTGTTGGAAGCATGCAACATGGAAATGATGCTTAAGATGGGGCAACTAGCGCTCAAATGTGTCGTGAACAAGCCAAAGAACCGACCTACAATGAACCAAGTGGCTAAAGAACTTGAAGAGGATTTCAAGCGATATGCAGCTCCTGCTATCAGCAAACAGATATCGAATGTTCATTGTAAATCGATTGCCAGGCAAGAATCTGCAAGCTCTATTAGCATCGACAATGTTGGACTAGAGAGGTTCAATATAGAGGAAGAAGATGATATATCGATACGGAGTGTGTCAATGAGGTGCCTTGACGTGACTTGGATTGATAATTGTGAAAACGGGTCTGTTTTTGGGATTAAATGTCCATATGAGACGATTTTGAAAATTTGTCCGTGAGGAAACAGATGATAGAATTGCGCTTAGACTCCTCCGCGTAAATCCCTGAACATCAGGCATTTATTGTAGATGTGTTTATGTAGAGATACTTGGAGATCGAAAGGGCAAACGAGCAGCTGTAAGTTTTTTTTTAAATTGCAGTACAAAATGGGAATTTTGTTTCGCGTTTGGAGAACCTTCATTTTGAAAGAGTTGTTACCCGCAGAAGTTTTGCATTTTCAGAACGATTTTTCTAATGATGACAGAGATAGATAGAAATGTTTCTAGAAATAGAGAATTATGAGGCTTGAGTTATTAGCGGACTCAAAAAAAAATGTTAAAATAAAATTATAACTCCTGGCATGCTATATTAGAGTTCTAGTGTAGTGGAAAATATATTTCATACAGTATCAGAGCGTTCTAGATTTAAGTTCTATCAACCACGAACCACAAATTTAATTAAAAAAAAATATGTGTTGTGTGAATTTAGATATTGGCTCATGAAACAACCCTCAATTTGGCAGAGTAAAGCATAGGTTATCACCATTAAACCATACCACCTCTAAAATTCTGGAGTAATGAAAGGGATCTTTAACAAAAATGCATTAATTTGATTATTTCATGCAGTGCAAAAGAGCTCAGGCAATAGATAGGGATTTCGTATCCCAAACCCTAGTATTTTACCAAGTATACTAATTCCTACAACTAAAAAAAATTGTTAGGCCTTCTCATTTTCAAGTTTCAGCCTTTCACCAAATTGTCAAAAAAGAATGTCGTGAACGGCATGTTGTATCTAACACATGATATTGTCGACATGAATGGTATCTAAATTTATACTCTAATACAGAATTTTTCTTGCTGAGTGAGCTGCGAAAGAGATCATTAATTTGGTCAAATAAAGACTTTCTGATTTAAAGTAAAATTTCTATGCAGAGAATCCTTCGTCCTAATAAATATAGAACTTTTGGGAGAAAATGGATGATCTCTTCATTAATATTATAGTGTTTATATACTAGGTAAAGGAGAATTGTTCTAATATCCTAACCAGTGTGAGACTAAAGAAAGACTAGATGAGCATGGTTACATGCATTTATACGAGATGAAGATTTAATATAGATGGAAAATAAAGAAAGAACATACTATCTAACATATGGTTATATGCTACCTAATATAGAAGATAGGATATTAAGAAAACATATGTCACTATTTGGAATGCCCCCATCAAACTCATGTTGGATTGAGAACCGAAAGTTTGGACAAGAAGAGCCAAAATTGTGTAGGTGGCTGTTAGCATGCCTCGTTGAGAGGTGGCTGATTGGAGCATGACGGAAGCTACTTTTGGTTGTCAGGCTGAGGATGCAAGCTCTGTGGGAAGATGATGAGGACAACGTAAAGATCTCAACGGCAGGTGGAGGACAAAGTCTCGATCCTTGATGGTTGTTGAGGACCTCTGTGATGGAGTGGAGATTAGGTTTTGATGCAGTTTGCTAAAGGCTTGTGATTGGGGCAAACTTAAGGAGAGAAGCATAGCTTCATGTTGATGTCGACATCAAGGCAAGGGAACACAGCAAGGTGTTACTTTTTGTAGACTGGAGGTTGTGTTTATAATGAGTTGTGGTTAGCTGTAGGGGAGGCGTTGCCGCTAAGGGGAGGATTGGGAGGGAGGTGTTGTTGCATGAGAGGTGTAGTCGTCGTGGCTCAGCAATAAGTGGTGACAGGTATGAGTTTTGCTGGCAATGGGGACTTCCAATGGTAATGGGAAGAAGAGATGGTGGTATTGTCAAAGATCCATTATTCATTGTCAGAGATCTAGCAGAACTAGATTAGGGGTTGCAATGGTTATAGGTGAGGATGATGATAATGACTTGTTGCTGAAGTTGAATCCGTGGAGGGGAACACGGAAGTGGTGCTTGTATAAAAAGCCCCTCGACGGCCCCAAGATCCAGAAGAAGAGAGAGTTATTCTCTAGCATTGAAAACTCTAATAAGAGTTATTCTCTAGCATTGAAAACTCTAATACCATAATAAATGTAAAAGTATAAGATCTAAACTAGAAACAATATGCCCAAGCTAAGAGATATTTGATATGCTCGTCTTGGTTGCGGATGAAGCTTGAACTTGTACTTGACTTGAAATGCAAAGCTTCATTCCGATATTTTTTTCATCCTCCAATGGATATGATCGTGTAGGCGCAAGTCCATCCAACATCCAATGGATGGTCTTTGTGTAGAACACCTAACAAGTAATTAAACACTCGACAAACATTATTAAGAATTATTTGTTAATTATCAAAACTAGATTAGATAATAGGCTCATAAATATGAAACCTAACAAATTCCATAATAAGTTTAGCTGAATTGAAGATGCATGCTATGGAGAATTTAAAAGTACAGTATGAAAGTTTATTGATAAGTTACTCTCTCGAGAAGTTTCTCAGTGTCTCGTTTAAGATTCTAAAAGATGAAGATATTCTCAACATGATAGATTATCATTGTTCAATGGGGTTAAATACGATAACCATGACTGTTACTGAAAGAGATAAAGAATATGATAGATTATCATTGTTCAATGGGGTTAAATACGATAACCATGACTGTTACTGAAAGAGATAAAGAATTCACGCATGTCATAGGGACAGAAATGGTTAAATACGATAACCATGACTGTTACTGAAAGAGATAAAGAATTCACGCATGTCATAGGGACAGAAATAGAGTTTAAGTAAGTATTCAAAAGATTCTTTTCAGATTTTGTATACATGTTATAACGGGAACTGTGATGTTTACATCTTATATGTTACCTATAGATATTGCACGTGACATATCGACTTTATTTGTGACATATACAAGTTAACATTTATTTGTAATTACCACACGTGACTTATATGTATGTTATATTTAACTTGTAGTCTTCTTATTGTAAACTCACAGTCATCAGAGCATCCAGAAATCAGACATGATCCTAAATGACAATCATCAAGAAGAGTATGTATGGATAATGGATGACATAGAGTGACTCAATAGGAATCCCGGCATGGTGGTAGGAGGCAATTACTAAAAAAGGGCAGCAATTTGAAAGCGTAAAAGAAGTTAGAATGACTCTTATATACTACTCTATAGCTAAGAAGTTCTATTTAAATATGTTAACAATGAGCCAAAAATACATTCGTGATTAGTACATGTTCAGAAAAAAACAAAATGCTCGTTGGTACTTTACGCTTCACTATTGAGCCATGTGTCAGCCTTTGCTATAAAAAATTAGTTCTTCAATATACTTGTGGACAACATAGCAGTATAGCTGGTCATTCTAGAGCATCAAGAATGTGAATTGCGAGTATGCTACAATCAATTATGAAGAGTCGTTCATCTATCACCCCAACTGACATTAGAAAGAAATTGCACTCTCAATATGGTTTAAAAATTAGTTATTCTAAAGCATTGTATGCTAAAGAGACAACAAAAGACCAAATATTTGGTTGAGCAAGGCATTTTTTATGGTTTACTAACTTGGTTAGTCCATTAATTTGTTAACCTTAAATGTGATTCATTAACCTTAAATATAATATTTCAGAATGCTATGTGACGTATAAGTATAATATATGATGTTTAGACGTCATATGTGACATTTAGGTTTTATATGTGAGCTTTCGATCTTAAATGTGACAGTATGATATCATATGTGACATTTTGGTCTTAAATGTGACCTTTAGACCTTATATGTGACATTCATGTCTTACATGTGACAGTTAGAACTTATTTATCATTTAACAAGTTATTTGTATTTTTAATCATCAATTAAAGGTATCAAATAAAGGTGATGGAAACAAATCCAGGCAGTGTCGTCATCATTGAACAAGAACAAATACGATTCAAGCATTTATTTGCATCCTATAATGCATGCATACAGGGGTTTCTCAAGAGATGTAGGTCGTTGCTCTTTACATGTGACATTATGCTTTTATATGTAACTCTTGTCTGTTATGTGTGACCTTTACTAGTGGCATGTGATATTACTCTATTGACTATGACTTTTATATGTATTCTGTGACAATTTAATGTTCCTTGTGACATTTCTCGGTTATATGTGACACGTTGATGTAATTTGTGATAGTGAATTTCTGTTTGATACATATGATATTTATTTACATATATAGTCATATCACTTTCAATATTGCTGAATCTTTCAATAGTTGGATTTGTGTGGGAAGAACACTTCCTGTTTGCTGAAATCTTTGAGGTATCAGCTCAAAAATCAGTAGAAGTTAATGATGTGTACCAATAAACATGTGTATGTGCTACTATTAACTTTATGTGTAGAGATGTGTACCCGTATTGCGATTGGTTCATGATGACTGAAGCTTTCAAGAAAAGTTATGAACACATTTTCTTTCCTGTTCTAAATTACAATAAGCCAAATGTCACGGATGAAACAGTTGACATACTTTCCCTAAGACGACAAAGAGACATGAAAGAAGTAAGAATAGATGTATTAACAACCAATCTAAGAATAGACACCTAGTTAAATGCTCAAGGTGTCACACTGAAGGACATAATCGAGACACATACACTGAACCTATCCAAGACAAATATTTCTTAGCAGAATTAAAGGTCTTTTGGGGATTGTTGTCTATTATATGTTACTTTTATCATTTTGTTGTGACATTTATGTGTTCTATCTGTTTGTGTGACTTATTAGTATTAAATATGATATCTGTAAGCTTTATACCTTCAGATACTATGTAATATGCTAAAGAAAAGTTTATGGGGTAATCACAAATGCACATTTCATCATTGTCACCATAAGTCTCAAAATTTACAAAGAAATTAGTCATATCCAACATAGAATTATGATGTACGTGTTTGTCTAATACTTCTACTCAATCAATTGGATATCATTATCTCCAAAATATAAAAGATATTCAGGATTATCTACATCTAACTTCAATCACAGCTTCTTAATTCTCAGCCTTCACATATAATTTGAGCAGCAAGTCATGCCCTTAACATTTCAGACTCCGTTTGTAAAGCTTCAATATCTATGGCCTCCTTTCATTCTAGAATCACTTTGATGTATAAATATGTATGTATGCCATAATCGTACCTAAATAGAAAAAGGTGAAGTAACAGTCATATACAGCAACAAAAAAGATTATGTATCACATTGAACGTGTAAAAGTCACAGGTGATACAAAAACATCACAGATAACATCTACGCATCACAAAAAATGATGAATTATCATAAATAATGAGTACAAGTCACACATAATGTATAAATATCACATAACACCAACATATATAACTAATAAGGAGTATATGTCACACAAAATGTATAAATATCACATGAGACACGCATATGTCACTGACAAAGCGTATATGTCACACAGAATATATAAATGTCTTATAACACCATCATTTATTGTAAAAAATAGAGAGTGCATGTATGATGCAGGAGTGACTAAAGACATTAATTGTATAATTCTAAGGATTCTTCGTTCTTCTGGTTTATAAACTTCGGGCTTAATTCATTAGACGTCACACACAAAACCAATTCCTCAGAATTTGGGAAACATCCTTAAACAAAAAAGAATAAGCTAAAGCCAAGATACATGAATTTGGAAATGTACACATGAGTACACCTACCACATTTCTTGCGCTTATTTATTTTATTAATTTATTGTTTATTCATTTATACTTAAAGTTAGTTTTATTAACATAAATTTCACATGTAAAAGAAATTAGGACTAATGCACCGTAGTTCTTGTCCCCTTGGTTGATTCCTAACTAGCATTATACGAATTCTCAAGGTTGCATGTTTGAAGGTATGGGAAGAACAATTTCTTATGTACTAAGTTTTTTGCCAATGCAATGCAAACATTTTATATTAATTTTCTTTTCATTTTGCTTATGTTGCTAATTAAGGTAACTAATCCCCAAGGCCTATCATAAGAAAGTTGATCTTTCCTACTATTCCAACAATTTGTTTAGAAAATCATTTTCAGTTCCCAACGTCTTTAACAAGATAACCGACTAGTTATGAAGCTAAATGATTTTATTACAAATTCAATCTTTTCATATATTTGATTAGGATGCAACAAAGCTTCACCGGATTTGGACTAAAGAGAAAATGAAGTCTGGATATTTTCTATTTGATCTTGATAATATAACGATGACACGTGAAACACTAATCTAAAGAAGTAAAAGTTAAGAAAATAGTTATCATTAATTTTCACATGAATTGTAAACTCTACCTGATAATTGAGAGCTAGGCATATCAACAAACACTTGATGGGCATACAAAACACACAAGTGAAAGTAATAAGCGTAACGAATCCAATGTAGTTTGAAGAATTAAAAGACACTCATTTGTAGGAAAAAGAACAGACCTTGAGGGTGATTTTGCGCAGTCTGCAATGAGAAAGAAATTAATTAGAAAAAGAAACAAAAATCGGATGATGAAGAGGGACTTGGGGTCGGTACTGGTAGCCGAGGCTGCAGACGTCGAGCTTGCAGTTAGCGGGGTCCTTGTCGGAGCGAAGACGATGACGAGCTTTCTTATTCTGGCCGTAGGGGGTGACGATGGAGCGAAGACAATCAAGGAGCGTCGACGAAGATGGATCAAAGCTGTAGGGGTCGACGATGGACAGCTTGCGCTGTCAGCGGTCGGGATCCTCGTTGTTGGCGGTGGAGGAGTGCGATCTTGAGAAGAAGAGAGATCTTGAGAAGAAGAGGGTGATAAGAAAAGTAGTTGCAGAGGATGTGGTTTTTTTTATTTTAAATAGGAAGGGTAATTTTGAAATAGCTTTATTGGATAGTGGGTTTCTACAGTATTGGGGGATAGTTGCACTAAAGTTTCAGTATAAGGGTTGGGGAGCATGGGTTTTTTAGCTGGAGAGGAGGATGCATAACATTAGTTTTGGAAGTTCCTCCAAGCAATTTACTCATATTTAATAATATATATTATTATATAATATACTATATTAATTGCAGTTAATATTTTATTATAGCAATTATATTACAGTGTAAATCATTCCCTATTTGTTTTCCCGATCCGCTCCGTTGAACTTGATCTACACGTTCTTAAACCCAAACACACCAATTTTGGGGTTAATCCGTCGTGTTTTGACCCTTTGTTGAGCCATGCAAAAAGTTCTATTCATTCAAAACCGACAAAATTACGACGAGTGGATGAAGGGTCAAAACACGACGGGCTCACCCCAAAATTGGTATCTTTAGGTTTAAGAACGTGTAGATCAAGTTCAACGGAGCGGATCGGAAAAAAAAATTAGGGAATGATGTGATTTTAGGCCGCGTCCTTAGGTGAGAATCTAAGGTGTCACCTTAGAATCACTTTTCCCATAATATTATATTGAATAAAAGAATTATAATATTTGATATAGTAAATTTTTAACTTATGACTCTATTCTGATATAGTAAATTAGACATTATATTAAATATATTGTTCGTGTATTATATCAGTTATTATATATATATATCATACTATTATAATATAATATAATAATTATTAATATTAATAAAATATTATGATATAATATAATATAATATAAATACCCCAAATGGATGAAATTATTCCATTGGAACAATTATCCCACTTGGTCCCAACTTGTCCCAACCAATAACCCCCCCTA